AGTAAGTGGCCAGTTCCGTAAATTTATATAGTGCGCCCATATATATGTATATGTATATATATATATATATATATATATATATATACAGGATGTCCCACGGCTTGCCACACGAAGGAAAAGTACCTTAAACACCGCAGGTCGAAAATTTTACTGAAAAACTTCATTTTGATTTTAAAAACAATTCCGACTGCATTTACAGATTTTTAAATTATCGCCTGTCCGGGAATCGAACCTGTAGTTTTACTATACTGATCGAAAGCTTCAATCATAAAGATTGGTTTCTTCTAAATAAAACAGCATCTTAAATGAAGGGAAGACCATGAAATTTAACAGTTACTTCTTTATTCATTACTTCACGTCAACTTTTGAGAATTCATTTATACTTATAACGTTACCAACCAGGTCAAGCTCATTACGCAACAGGTCGCGTGTTCTCGAAGGCGGCCGGCACGCGCCGTGGCGTGCGATTGCTTCTGTGCCCTTTATAAATTTCATAAATAGCACTATACAAAATGTTAATTATCGTGAAATGCAAATAATATACATTTTTTTATTTCCTGACCGTAAATGTATTGTGTTCCACTGTAAATAATTATTATTTACGCTCATTACTCATTGTCATACGTATCATAACCATATTAGTATAATAAATATTACAGAAAACAGGGACTATGCAACAGCTAGATGAGTGTGAGTTTAAAAGATAGGAGTTGAGGGTTTTTTTTAATAGAGACGAGTCTTATTGCCCATACAACATGGAGAACTTACGTACAAAGGGCGGCTTATCACTAAAAGAGATCTCATCCAGCCAACCCAAGCGGTAGTAGACAGGATATTTATTGCAATGGAAAGTGCAAAACAATGCAACATAACAGCGAAAGTAACCTATCCTATCTCTTACAAATACGCAAAAAAATACCTTTTAAAATCAGGTTAGTGGGTCGAGCATTTTAGCGATGCTTGGTTGTTTGGAGGTAGGATCGGAGGAAGTAACTGAAAACGATGGTAGTCAGTAAGAGTAAGGTTCTTAATTATTTTATATTGGAGAAAGAGAGAGAAAGCTCATCTACATCTACACTACAACGAAGACGAATGAAGATGAATCTAACAGCAAAGTTGAAGTTGTTTCAATCCATGTTGGTTACCAGAGCGTCACAATTGTAATAAATTTAACATTTTTTTAAATTATTGTTCTTTTTTTAAGCTTATGGTTTCGTTGCCAAAGCTAAAAAATTTATTAATCAATTGTCAAATAATATGTTACCAGTTTCAAAAAGTAATATTAATTCTTTTGAGCTGATTAAATTAATTTATTATCGCAATTATTAAATATCCTAATTTATGTCACGAAGTAATTCATTTTGCTTATAGTACGGGAATGATTTATATTTATCAGCGGCATTTTCCTGTCCACTTTATGGTCGATCATTATTGCGCTCAAATGACGAAAAATTGCAAAAGTTTCTATTACTATTCGAAGAAATAAAAAAGAAAAAATACTTAAAAGAATAACTTAAAAGAAATACAAAATTGGTACTTGTGCCAATTTTGTATTTTTCAGCCTACAATCAAAAGAAATTGCACGCTTTCTCACTTTATTACATTATAGTAAGTACTTTATACCAATGCGAAGCGGTCATTACTCGCCTCAGCCCTACAAAATTGTTTTGTTTTTCTTTTCAAAGGTGTAAATATTTGGATTAATTTCCTGTGTTCCATGTCCTTGTGCATCCCTTACCTTGCGAAACTTTAGTCTAATGACGGTTTTGTAAATATAATACATATTTGATGATCTAGCTTAAGACTAAATTGTTTCAAGAGGTTGTATAGGTAAACTCTAGTATACTAGGAGCACGACCTTAGACGGTTTATTGAATATTTGCTTTTATCATTTTCTCAAGATTAACTTCAAGAACACATTAAGATAGTTTATAGTGTACGTTTTTATTTATAGGGTAGCGTATAGATATGAACTCAGTTTACGGGCACATTATTTTAAATTAATGCTGGCTTAAGAACATTTGGCATATTTGTATTTTAACTATTCATAGCCTAAAGAGATAAAATGGAGAAGTTTATTAAATAGATCACGTATAATTAGGCTACCGGTTACTTTGCAGGTGCGTTCTGACGAAAATATGTTTAGACGAAAACGTCCGAAATCCTCGTCAGAACAAGGCGGTTACACTGCTAGCGTTTTCTGACGGATAAAATGTAAACATAATTGTAATTGCTTATACAATTAATGTGAACCCCATTCCAAATAAATACACCATTGTACTTACTGCTAATGTTGAGTTCTGTAGCCACTTTCACCCACTTTTGCCGAGAAATATCTCTATTATGATCATTTTTGTCTATCACATCTAATTTCTCGTACATAAGACTTATCTATTTGTCGTTATCCATGGTGAAAGAACCATTTGGTTACACTCGAAATTCAAAGCACGAAACCACCCAAAACAGACGCAGCTCGCACGATAAAATCAAACTTGTTTGAACGCTCGAACGCGAATTGGTTCTGATTATCGCTGGAGTAAGGTAGACGATTAGCGCCTGCATCGCTACTGCATCTGCGTCTGCATGCTTCTAAAAGTCGAGTGTGTAATCACTCTTAAGAGCAAAAGGAATAACTTCAGAGCATCAATAGCATAATTAGTATGGGGACAAAATGATTAGAATGCGAATAGAATAGATACTCTAAAGTGATCACGGAGTAGAGTATAGATAAGGCTTAGTTTTGTTAAAGTTGTCTTATGGTATTCTATTTATCTCTGCAAGATTGCTCCTCTTCAAACATTTTTCTCAGTGGCTTACGAAAGTTTGTGACTAGTATTGATGTAATTTTAACTGTTTTACAGAATTCACGACTATTTTATGAATATGTGTACTTCTTATCTCTTCTGTTCATTGTTGTTGACAACCGTGCTGGTACATGATCTGGCCACGATGTGTTCTTAAACAAATACTTTTCCATAAACAAATTACTCTTCTGATTAAGTGAAAATAGGAGAATATATTGACAATTCCATAGAATATCTATCAAAGGATTTTGGTAAGACTTAAGTCTTGCAATAATAAGTCTACATTACACTACCTATACGTAAAATGTTGATACATATTTGCTATTGTGTTTTATCGAAACGTTATCTTAGTATCTTGTTTTTGAGGTCGTTTTCAGATAACCTCAAAAAATGCTTTCCCTTTCAATAAATATTAAGCATTATTTATTTAATATGACTGCTTGTTTACTTAGTCTGTATTACACATAAAAAGACTACATTACTACGCCACAGTAATAAAAGAACATTAAAAAAGTGGGTAATATTTCATTCATAGGAATCGGTTCCAAGTCTCCCTAATTTTAAGAAAAGAAGAAAAAAATTTAACCCTCGTGGAAATTGCAATATTTCCCATCGAGGATAAACTCTAATAACTTTCACATCGAATATTTTTCTTACCTTTCTAATTTAGTATTAACAAATATCTTGGGAATATGCAATGTGTTTAAATTTTTCATATCATTACTGTTATTTCAACTAAATACCTCCTAATAACAAAATTTCATACCGCATCACCTTTACCCTTCGCACACGTGAGAAAGGGCTCGTGTCGGACTGGAGTGTTCACTATGAAGTAACCTGTGCATCTCCGTTTTAGAAAAAATCGACTTAAATACCAATTTCAGAGCTAGTGACTAAATCATTCTCATTCATGTAAAGCAATCTACATAAATAAGTATTATATAATAGCCTTATAAACTTTATTGTGCATCAAATAGACAAAGGGAACTTTAAAATCCACACACTTTTATAACGGTCCAGAAGGTCGTAGAATACTACAACCTTGACAATTAAAAATGTATCCAAATATCATTCGTGTCGCTCTCATTCTTGTCTGTCTACTTTTAAGTCAAATAGTTACTTTAAGCCAAACATTTACTTTATATATAACAATTAAATGGTGACATTGATGGTGATGACGGCGGCGATGATAATGATGGTGGTGGTGATGATGATGACAATGAATGTGATGATGGTGACTATGTTGATGATGATGATGATGATAACAGTGATCATGATCAATATTTTCTTTAGTGAACGATACAATGAGTGTTGTAATCATAATTTTTCTTTACTGTGCCGCCTTTCTCATTTATGTTTATGATAAAATCATTCGTATTACTGCAATCTCTTTCGTGTGACCTAAAATATCGTTTTTTGTTGTATTTCACTTAAATATTTCTGAACTTATTGGACTTATTTGTACGTTTAACACCTTAAAACCAAAAGAATAAAAAGGGTTTCACATAAATCACTCAAAAAGTGCCATTGAAATTCGGGAAGTGAAATTCACACTTTGGACTAAAATTACTCTTAAAAAATATTCTTTTCATAATTGTGTTATAAGAGGGACTTAAGAAAGACTATCAATTGTATTAGTTTCTATTCTTAAAAAAAACCTACAAAAATCTATGAATCTAGGTACACCTTCACAAAACCACGAATCAAAATTATAGACAACCATAAGATCGTACCGAGTGTGCTGCTTGGGTTGTGAACTGCGTGTAGTGGATAGGTAAATACTAATTAGATACATCATGAATAGTGATTACAATAAGTATGTAGGGTCTAACGAACGCACGGAACACTACGTTTTAAAGTAACGTAACATAACGTGATTGCCTTTAATTTTGTCGTAAATAAATACGTACAATGCACATTTATCAACTACCAATTGTATGTAATAACCATCGTGTACATAAGAATCTAAGTTGGCTATAAATTGATATTATTAGGTAACAAATGTTTTGTTTTAAATTCAACCTCGTTACAATTAAGAGTTCAGGTTAGCGTAAATTGACAGCATTTCGTTGTCGGGGAATGTTCCTGATTCCCCGTTGACATGTCTTCACAGTTGACATGTTTATAAATGACGTTTGAAAGCAGTTCTTGTAAATAACGTAAGTGTAACACAAATTTATCGAATACACTAATTAATAATAATAATTTTTATTTGACATTTTGCACTGAGGATATCTAAGTCAAATATATATTTGGGTTTTTTAACACGTCTACTTATCTACCACGCACACAATCTTTCAGTAACAGCCAGTACAATTATATTTATCTATCTATCGCGGCAACTGTACTGCGGGGACAGGTAGCAGTGTTTGTTAATATAGATCCTCATATCGTCGGCTGATTGGTATATCCTTTTTTTTTAAAAACCAATGCTATAATTTTAAGGCACTTTGTGAGATATACTAATATAACAGTGAACAGGAAATGAGACGCTGCTGAATGAGTCCTTTGAAACACGATTCCAGCATTTGCGAATTCAGTCGAAGTCATAGGTCTTCGGTAGAGGTGTACTCAATGCTTGTCTCATAACCGTGAAAGAATCTTGATACGCGTTACTTAAAATAATCCAAAATATTTTTTATTCTACTGGCGAAGAAATCTCTTGAAGTCATTAGGTTTTGTGCGTTCACGTGAGCAGTCTACCCATGTAATTATCGTGGTACGCGTTATTACGGTACCGTGTCAATCATGTATAGTTTATTTATGGGCTAAGTAAATTCAACTGAATAAAATTTCAGAGCAAATTCCGGGCGTGTCTCAGCTTCTATTTTAAAATATGAAAATTACTAACCTACGCTGAGGAAATTATTGGTACCTGAATTGTCGGTGGTGCAGCGCCGAAGTCCACGATGGTGTTGGGCGTGTTGGCGGCCGAGACTGCTTTCCTCTTTTTCGTTTGTTTGGTTTCCACCAAATCGGTATTGGTGATTACCGATTCTTGGTATGTAGCCGACTTCGAGGTTGGCACTTGTACTACCGAAGTTGTAACCGCAGTACTATTGACAAAACCAGACAAAAATATATGTTATTTATAGCATTCATAAAACAATAATAGAAAGAAGTATATAGTATGTTATGGATACATTTGGCGTTTTGTGTTAACTTGAGCTTTTACTAATACACAATAGCATTGGAGAATGTAGTTTGAAATAATATATAAACAGTATATTGAAGTAATTAAGTGTATCTTATGGTCATTTATGGATAAGTCCTAATTTAATTTGTAAAATAGTATTATTAAACAAAGTTGCTAATCATTAATACAAAATCACTATCAATAATTATTACGGTGACAAAAAGATTAGCTGATTCGTGTGCAAAACGTCGATATTTACTCGACCAAAATGAAACATCTCATGTTTAAATATCCGCTATTTTATATTCTTTACCCTTGATAATGAAATTACGGTTAACCTGGCAGTGGTGTTGGTAGCAGTGGAAGTGGTGGGCGCAGCAGTCGACGCGACCGAGCTGATGACGCTGCCGGTCTCGCCCGCCGACTTGCCTGGCGATGAGGCGGCAGGTGGCACTTTAGCGCTTCCACCCGGTGTTGAACCACCTGCTGGATATTTCAATAGGATGAGCAACATCATTATTCCACCAGCATATTGAAGGAAATTCGAAAACGCTAACAATACTTAATACAAACTGTCTCCGTGGCCGAACGGTTACCATGTGGGACTACACGCAGTGGTCCTGGGTTCGATTCCCAGGTAGGGCGAAATATGTGTATGACCTACATTTATTTCTCTCGTGAGTTTGAGTTTAATTTGTGGTTGTCTATTTGTGTATCCATGGCACGTGCGACACAGGGTTTCACTAGTGCGGGGCAAAGAGTGTGTTGTGTTATTATATTATTATTATATAACAATGATTTTATATGGAATCAATAATCTTAATATAGTATATAAGATCATTGACTTAATGGTATTGGTTTCGTTTCGGACGGATGCAACTACTAAATGCTTTAAATTCGGTATCGGAGCAAAAATCGTGATTTAACACAAGTATTTCAGAAGACCCTACTACCAAACGTCAAATGACTAATTTCGTGTGGTATATAATAAACGTCTTGTGTATGATTATGATTTAAGGACTGTTCCGATATACGCGATACTCGCTACCGTTGTGGGTAGCGTAATCCGAGTGAGTATGCGGTGTTTCTACTGTTCAAACCTACACGGATATCACCCTCGCTATGGGTATAGCGAATCTTTTTTGATTTTAACCTGTCTAAACAATCACTGCCATGCCGTCAGTGAATACGTAGCCATCACTAATTGATTTACGGGGTGTGCGGAGTACCGCCGACCTCGAATGTATGGCGGTCTGGGCGGAATTACATATAAATACCCTTATTTATTAGGTATTTTTCACTACCCACAGCGGTAGCGTATATCGCTTATATCCGAATAGTCCTTAATATAATTCCGAAGATTTAGTATTAAAAAAAATTATTGCATTTGAATTATTAAAATTAACACAATTATAATTTTTGTGTAATTATAAAGAAGAAATTACTACACCATGACATTTACGTCTTTCTATAACTTGGTTGCTGCACTTGGTCCTGACTACTAAGACAGGACCTAAGGTAGTATCCGCAGGGTTTGTGGATGTAGGAATAAGCTTGAGGCTGCCCATTCAGAGACGCACCAGTACCGCCTTACCTTCAAGTAGAGTATTGACAAACGAACTTTAAGTTAAGTGAATGATAATCTATAGTCGGGCAAATGTCGCAACGCGCGAGAGTTTAACGCAGCTCGCACATAAATAGTGAAGTTATAGTAAACAAAATGAGCACCTTTTCCAGGCTGCGTCTGAGTGGAGTCGGTCATATGTTGCGGCGACGGTGTCGGCGTGCTTGACTTGCTGCTGCCGGCGGCGCCCGCGTCACTAGCTGACGATCCACGCCGCGACGGAGATGGTTTCTTCTTATCTGATCAACCGTTCACACGTCTCAATATCTACTTCAGATATTTAAACCCACACTAACTACCACGAAATGTATCAACACCAATATTCCACATTTTAAACTTTACATGCATACAACACAAAAAGTAACATTTTGTTACTAATACCTTGTAGTGAAAAGCGCTGAACAATAATACCTTTGTATTGTGACTTTGAATATTTTAAATATGAATTAACATGGAAGAATATAACTATGCAAGACAGTAAGAAACATTGTTCTACATTTGTAAAGTATGAGAAGCTATTATTACTAACAACGCACACAGCTACATGCATGCCACGACATCCAACTACATAACGAAATTGTTGGAACACACGTTTTTCAGACGCTTTGTGTCTACGGCCGGTCGCTGTTGCAGGCGTCTCAGTCACCTCCTGATTCGTTTCTGATATTTGTTTAGAAAAACACCCAGTATTAGTCTACTTTGAGCAAATATTGAGCGTAGATAGTGCAAAATCTAATACATATTGTTAGGTAAAAGAAAATAACGAATATTATGAAAAACACTTTAGGAAAGGGTTTCAACTTAAAAGGTCTTCAAAAACAGATAAAGCATTGAATTAGACTTACCCATAGGCTGTGTTGTATTAGTAGGAGTCTTTGAAGAATTTGATGAGTTTTTGGCTCCAGTTGTACTACCACTATGAGAGGACTTGCGACCGGGCTGTGGGTAAGAAAAGCAGTCTTACATTTCTGTCTCATTATTAAACTGTCAAATCATGTGTCACGGCAAATTCGCGCTCCCGAAGTTCATTGCTTTTCTACTGTAAAAGTGAGAAATGAACTGTGAAAATATTTTTAAAGTGTTAAGAACATACCGTGAATGACGTGAGTGTCATATCGGCATGTCATGTCATAACAATCCTTAAAAATATCATAAACTGCAAAATAATTCTCAGTTGACATTGAACTATTCAAAATGTTACTATCTACCCCCAGATGTTTTGTTTTTATATCGGCCGCCAGATTTGTTAGCTGTCAATAGCAGTAACCACAGATAAACTGTTCCCATCGGAATAAAAAAAAATGCCATTTCAGGGAAAAAATGGAAGTGGAAGACCAAAGCCATTTTAAGTAAAGTGCTGCTGGTAAAACTATACTAACGTCAACAAGTTTTCAAAAAGTGCTCACTCAACAAGTGCTTCACCCAGGCCACTTCAATCGTACTCGCGCCTCCTCACTAAGTTAATTGCTCAACAACCAAGAAGCGATTGTCGACATTATCTCGCAACCAAAAGATACCATGTCACAGCCGATACTCCCTGATGGGCAACGTGTTCCGTCATCAAAAAACCGGAAACGTGTTGAAACTTTACCTCGAAGTACTGTAACAGCCACGACAACAGGTTCGAAGATTTACCATTAGACTCCAAGGACAATACACTTGCAGTTTCTTTTAATAAGTAAATTAACAAATCTAATTAAAACAGTGTCCAATAGTAAACAAAAACTTCTTACGTATTCTCGTTGATTCCGTAGAATAGTATAAAAAACCATCAGTCTAACAAGAGAAAAGTCTTATAGGACACACCTTTACAAGGAAAGATACTAAATGTTATAGATTTCTCATTAAAAATCTTCAACACACCTAGCGCTATTATCGAGGAAGTCGAAGCAACTGGTAACAAAGTGAAAGAGGAAATAATAAATGCACGCTACGGACCACAAAAAATACCAACCAGCCACATTCTTCGTAAATCTCGAACCAAGTGTAAATAATAAAATGTTCAAAAGTTGAAGCATATTTTCAACCAAAGCGTTAAAATCGAATACCCTCGTAAAACAAATATAATTGTTCAATGCTATCATAATCAACAATATGGACACTACAGAATAATTGTATGACACCTTTCAGGTGTTTTAAGTACAGCACAAGGCATAAAACTTCCAATTCACCCAAAAAAACAGAAACTCCCCAGCAAGGTGAGCGTTATCTCGACCGTCCTGCTAATTACAAAGGATGTAAAGTCTATCAGCAAATACAAGCAAGACGGGATAAGACTTCTTTTTAACTTAACATCTACATTACGAAAACCGTCCATTTTATACAATCCGACTACCGACCCTGTTACCACAACAGCCACCTCGAAGACTCCATTGTTTAACTTACCTACATCAAGCGCTATATTATATGCTAATATGGTTAAAAAGCCCATTGAAAACCAACAAATCAGTAATGCCGTTGAAATCATGCTTCTGAAGCAAAGTGAAAAATTGGATACACTAATTCTACAAATTATAGCCCTTGTTAGCCTTGTTACCAACCTGATCGTTAAAATGACACCATGACTTCTCTGCGCATATCAACGTGGAATATTAATGGACTTGCACCCAACACATCTGAACTAGAAACATACATTGTTCGCAACAGACTTGATGTTGTCTTCATCTCAGAGTCACACGTAATCTCTAAATATATTAATTATTGCACCTTCATTACTCCCCACCTTGATGGAAAAGCTCACTCTGGGACAGCTGTGGTGGACAGAAAATGTATTAAACACCACGTACTAGAACCTTATGTAACGGAACATTTGCAAGCTACTCCAATCAAATAATAGATAGAGTTGGAGCAATAACTTTGTCAGCGGTTTACTGCCCACCTAGGCACAAAATAAATGAAGTAATCTTCTCACACTACTGCTATGCTGATTGGAACGCCAAACATACCTACTGGGGCTCCCGACTTACTGTAACGAGGCCGGTAACTAAAGCGGAGCATTGCCATCAATAACCTCTATCCAATATCGTCTGGTGAAGCAACGTACTGGCCCACCGATGCCTAAAAAACACCTGATCTGTTAGACTTCTTCATCACTAAAAACATTTGTCATCTTTACACTACAAGCGAATCAAGCCTAGATAGCTCGTCCGATCACACACCTGTCATTCTCACTGAGCACAATGGCTGTATTGCGCGAAACTATAGGAAGAAAACTACATAATCACAAGAACGACTAGGATTCGTTTCGTGACTACCTGGAGAACCATGTCGACCTTAAGCTTCCTACATCTACTAATCAGTTCCAAATCGCTGTTTGGAAAAATACTCCAGTGATTAACCCAAGCTTGAAACCAACCTGCCTACCAATGCCAATTAAGAATAAAATTACGGAAAAAAGACGATTAAGAAGAGTATGGCACTAGCCTCGTCTATTTTCTTATAAAACTTTCTTAGATAGGGCCATTAAGGAGTTGAAAAAATTACTGCAAGACACTGCAAGCGAGTCTCTGAAAACCAATCTCGAACACCAGTCTGCGTCGGGTAAAGGTGAATATTTTCTATGGAAGGTTACACGAAACATTAAAGAAACCTAAGCAATAATTTCCATTTCTTCAAACAGGTTTAACATGAGCGCGTACCGATACAGAGAAGGCAGAGGCTTTTGCGGTACACCTAGAATCAGCCAAAATACTGCTCTGAAAATGATGATTTGGAATTTGACAACATTCTCGCTTATAACTTGCAACTCTGCCTCCCCTTAAAGCCAACATCAACAGAAGAATTTTTTGCGGAAATAACTAGAATGGCAAACGACACACCGCCTGGTTTCGACTATATTTCCCTGGAAGTACTCAAAGAAATCCCCAGAAAGTGCTTGGTGTTCTTAACTACCCTGTTTAACGCCACATAGAGAATTGGTTATTTTCCAACTGCCTAGAAGGTATCACAAGCAATAATGATACACAAGCACGGGAAACCAGCCCATGAATGCGCCTTTCATCGTTCTGCCAGCCTTACATCTGTTGTCAAAAAAGATATATTTCTATGAAATGAAAAAATGAAATAAAAAGTAACTTAATTGCACAATATCAATTTGGGTTCCGTGAACAACACTAAACTGTTCATCAAGTCCACGGAATTTACCACACAATTAGACAGTGTCGGAAGAGTAAAGAATACTGCTCAGCTGCTTTCATCGACATCCAACAGGCTGTTGATCGTGTTTGGCATTGGGGACTGTTGTATAAAATTAGAACTCTACTATCTCACTTGATTTGTCCTATAATCAAGTCCTTACCAACCTTGACAATAGAGTCTTCCAAGTAACACATGGCGAGGGAACATCCACACTTTACAACTGTCGTGCCACACGGTACACTGAAATCTACGAAAACCTGGAGATTCCAACGATTCTAGAAGTGATGGACCTGTACAGACGTAAACACAGGGATCGGATCAATACTCCTCCAAATACTCTCTCGCTAAAGCACTGGTTGATAGTGGTAATATTAGGAGACTGAAATGACAGCACATATTCAATGGCTAGGAGAGGCTGAAGAAGTGGCTTCCTTGCTCTCAAATGCAAAAAATCACTCAAACAATTGAATTATAGTCTGGTAACTGATTGTAGGTAAATAATAATAATAAAAAAGATACATACTCCTTTTGTTTTGTTATAGCTGGTGGGTGTTCCTCCACCACCTGCCATGGGGGAAGTTTCTCCTTCCTTCTCGCCGCTTGAATCACTGGAATGACTATCGTGAGATACAGGTTTATAAGGCGGAATCGTCTTCACGTTGCCTCCCTTTTTCTGCAAAAGTAATGTGATTAGACAAAATTATGTGAAATCAATAACATTAGCATAAATAATTTTCAAAAAACAAATTACATAATACATACCAATTTGCTGTAATGATGTTGGCAGTAGCCACAATATTTTACATTATCTAAATAGTTGCCAGCCTCTTCGCACAATAAACCCAAGCTCTGGGCACAAGTTACATGAAACTGTTGTTTACATCCTGAAAAAAGTAAAATTTTTTGAGCAATACTGTAAGATTTTTATGTTGACAAAGATATTAAATATCTTTCACCTGATTTATTGCATTGCATGCAAGCACCTATTACAGCTCTGAGTGACTTATGAGACTCTTGACAAATGTAGCATTGCTGGAACAATTGAAATCATTCATTTGGTTTAATTTAGACACTTGGTCAATTAATAACATGTTAGATTTTTTTACAGTTAATTGTATTTTAACAATGTTGTGTACTCACCTTGTTAAACCTTTCTGGCGGAATGAGCCTCAGAACAATTGGTTCCATAGACGTAACATTTCCAAATCTGACCTCAGGAATATAGAGTGCGCAAACAACGTGGGCCCAGCCACCAGTGTCAGTACGCTTTAGAGCACCAGACTTGGACGGACAGAGCTCACATCTCTGAAAGTTATCAATGCTGTTTTATAGATAATGAAAGTTTGTTAAACTTAACTGCATTTTTGGGATTCAAATATGTTCAGAAACACTGACCACTTTGCCCTTAGTCTCAGGACTCTCACATTTCCTACAATACCATGGCCCGGTTGGGACAGTCACAATTCCGTAGCAAGCTTGGTGCACTGCCACAGTACAACCATTCCCATCACAGTATACCAGGGGGTTATCAGGCCACCCTCGCTCATCTGAGCACACGCAGCATCCTCCTACCATCTCCTTCATTTTGATAGTCTCATTTTACATTAAACTCTGAAAGCAAAGACACACAAACACATTATGTATCGATTAATCAATTTTGAATAAAGCATTATGTTACAACATTTAGCTCCAAATAGCTATTTATGAGAATGAAATGAACTGAAAAAAGAAATGTTGTTGATCTAAGAAAATAAAGAATGAATAAGGATGATTTAACTAAAATGTTATATGGACAACTGTTTAATGAATGCTTACTTCAATTTGTAAATTGTGTTGATGTTACTAAATTTCAATAGCAATGTTTTAGCCGGAGTCACAATTGTTTTATGACTTTATAGATGCATTGTTCAATAGTACTACTTAAAATATGCTATAAAATATCCTAACAACATTAGTACCAACAATACTAGCTGCTAGATAATGCAAGAAAGCAGTTAGTTGTGTACACCAATTATAAATTAATACAAGATCTTCCTTTAGAAAACAATGATTTTTTTTTACAGTATCTAACATAACCTATGCAGTTACAAAGTGTTTATAAATTGCTAAATATTAAAGAACGTGGAGTTACTTGACAAAGAAGTCTTTTTAAATTGTTTTAGTATATTTAAGTCGACTATTCATGTCTTTATACAAATTTCAATATAAGACAACTAGACGCCGATTACTAAAGAGCGCCCTTTATCCCTCACGCGTGTTCTTCTCGTGCAGTCGAAGTACTACAAAGCTATATCCCTTATATGTATATATATATATATATATATATATATATATATATATACCATATGCAATCAATGTTTCGTGCCTCTTCCTTTGTGTAAACTACTTCAAACTAGAATGGCTTTCATAGTCTACTACAATTTGAAGTAAGATGCTGTGTGAACACCGATGAAGATGACTTACAGCTTTAACTAAACCTGTCTAATTTATGTATTTACCGAACATTATAACATCTTGTCTTTCTGGAGATTAACAACCGGGCAGTATTTTTATTTCATTTCATCTTTTTGAGTTTTGATTATCGATAAGCTCACCTCTGCTCCTTGCAACAATGATAAAACGAAACGATTGACTGTGCAATCAATACACATCAAATTCACAAGCTTCCAACACAAAAGAAACACAAAAGCACTGCAAAGACGCGGTTTTTTATTGATATTTGTTAAATGTTGTAATTTATTGCCCGTTTTCAAAAAAATTACTGGCATAGTCGGCTGCCATTACACCAAGCAAGCAAAAGAAAGCCATCAACAAACTCACTACAAACAAAACTACCACAGAGAAACTGCATTCTATGATGGCTCTAGACACCAATAAAATGATACTATAAAGGAGGAGTCAATTTACTGTTGGGTAACTTTCCTAAAAATTTCAAATATAGGAAATTTTTCCGTAAATATTTCTGAAAAATTGGAAAAATTTAATTCGAAGACTTATTTGTGCTCTGTGTTTAAATATATCTATTGAAGTTTTATTTAGCGTGAATTATAAAATGAAAATGTATAGTTAAAAGCAACTTTTAAAATGATTGACTGATTGATTGATTGAAAAAATATTTTTAATGGCCCCATTGCAATGAAATGCAATCTGCAACTGTGAAATGTGAAAAAATATTCAGAAAAGTATTTTATTTTTTAAGGAAATAATAATAAGTATATTTTATTATTATAAAAATAGGAATTTCAACTTTTAAAAATTAAATGGTAATATTTTTGATTTCCTATTTACATTCCGCGACCGTTATTCTAAAATAGCAAGACATGAATGCGAACGATTGCCGCGCAATTTTGAAAAGTGTCTAACACGGTGTTTTTTATTTCAAGATTTAGTAACAATTATTGTAAAACAGAAACTTCCTCGTTTGTTCGAAAATATGATAGTTTGATCATTATACTTAAACTTATTTTAATTTACTAAAATATATTTGTAGTTTATGCATTGATCTAAGGTCAATGTGTTCATGGGACTAGGCTTGACGGAATTCGCTGGAGAATCGAACTGTTTCTAAGAATGTAGGCTGCACATTGAACTCAGAAAACGGAGAGCATCAAGAGGCACCAAAAACGCGAAGACGATTTGTCTATTTGATGTTCAGGATTGAACGACACAATTAATAGAAGCTTTTCAACGGTTTGAACACTATATATGTATATCTTTCGATTACAAGGAATTAAATTTAAATATGTATAAAAAAGTAACTGTCGCACTTGGTCGGTAACCATAGCATGTAATGTCACTTTTAAACTTTAGAGTGATGTTGCTACACCACGCTCCCGTGCGGCCTCCTTCGTCGCCCAGTGGAGCTACCGACGCGAGCATCTTCCCCCTTTCGAAGACCGTAGGATTTCGAGGAGATGCTATCATCTGCTGATCATCCTCCTGCGCAGTAGGTAGGGGACAAATATTACTGACGAGCGCGTAGTATTATGCCTTTCGATGTTTCAATATCTGCCATGCGAGCGATTCCGTCAGGTCTAGGGTAGAACTGGTGTATGCGACCTATTCGCCATTTTAATAGTGACAGGTTGGCTTCTTTGAGGATGACTATGTTTTCCAGCAGTATTTGTCCTTTGTTGATTCGCCACTTAGATTGTTGTTGTGTTCACATAAGAATTCGTGACGCCATATCTCTCAAAAATGTTAACGTTTTGGATTTGTTGAAATACGTTCAATTGACCAGCTTTACTCTCGAGTAACGGTACTGTCGGTAGCGATGTAAGAGGTCTAATGATCAAGGAAGTGCCCAGGAGTCAAGGGATAAAAATCTGAAGGATCCGATGAAAGTGGAGTGAGCGGTCTCGAATTCAATATTGCTTCGATTTGAACGAATAATGTCGATAATTCTTCATAACAGATATGATTATTACCTAACATTCTATTAAGTGACATTTTGCAGACTTTACGCTCGCCTCCCAAAGTACACCGAAGTGAGGGGCCGGTGAGAATTTAAACGTAATGCCTTCGTCGGCAGCGAATAACGAGATCGAGTCATTGCATGATTGTAAAAAAAGTGAGTTCATTATTTGCGCCAACAAAATTACGACCGTTATCACAATGGATCTTAGTAGGTTTTCCCCTACAAGATTTGAAACGATTAAGGCATAACATGAATATTTCGGTGCTGAGGTCGGATGCATTTCCAATGTAGAGCTCTGGTTGAGAAACAAATAAATAGACACAAATAGCTCTTAATGATTTTGCATCTGCGTCCTTTACGATCTCCTATAGGAAAACTTGGAATGGTAAGTTTGGAGTAACTATTAAGGTAGGTAAGTTTCCCATTATATTGATTATAGATATTAGATGGATTTTATTATTCGTCACAATCCACAATTGTTCGTGGCGCTTCTAGCCAACCGTCTACTCGTCATTAAGTGATTTTCCCAGCTATGTATTTTGCGCGGCGTGGTCGAAAGTCGTAGTTTAAGCTGCCAAAATAGATATGTAATATTTTTAGTAGTCAAGTATACCTAAATCTTCACCTGGGGCCACTAAAGAAAAATGCCTACGTCGACGTTATATTCATATATATAATTCATATTTTTTTTAGTACTGATTTCTAATTTTGGTGAAGCGTCCACAACGTGCGTTTGAAACTTGTTTTCATGATTGAAAAAAAAAATCGTACCATATTTTGAAAAAACCATAGATTTAGTAGAAAAAACACAGGTACACCCGTATTCTCAGTGAATATCATTGACGAATTCGCTCTGGACCTTTTGGAGGGAAAAGTGTCGTTTTTATTTTGACTTTCAATTATTTTGTGAAATCTAGTTTAAAGTGGAATAGGATTGTGCCTTAATCGAAGATTAAAACGCGAAATTATACGAATCTCGAACTAAAATACCCGTATCGGCCCGTTTTAAGGAATCCCGAGTCAATCCAAACACGCCGCCTCAAATTGCCTATCCTCTTTGTAGCGGCCATATTTACAGAGACATAATTAAACTTCATGTTTAGGCTGATGGCTTTGCCAAAGCCTTAATCAATAAAAAAAAAAAATCATTGACTTTTGTAAGTCAATGGTGAATATAAAGAAAGTTCGTTTCGACCGCTTAGGCTAGGGACCAAAAAGATTTGCTACCTGCTGGATAAGGGCGCATTTATTCGGCACGAATTTCATCGCGCTATCCCCGCGCGGTCGCCGAGTGGAGTCCGCGGCGGCCATCGCGCGTTCGAAGAGCGGAGTCCGCGTTGCCGCCGCGCAGTGGCCGCGTGCGTCTAACTGTCATGGCAAACGCTCTATTCGTTTAGCTTTTACGTTTTAATTTAAATGAGCGTTCCGGACACGCGGGCTATCCTGGCTTGAATTTTGGTCTACGCGGCGGCCCGCGCGACGACGGTAATTTTTTTGAGAGGAATTAAATGTTGTTACATAATAAATAGAATTTAGTTTCGCCATTAATGTACATGAATGTGGCCTTATTAAAAGCATTCTTCAGATTTCGAGTACTCGGAACGGAAAAAAAGCTTTGCGTAGTCGACGTTTTTGTGCTTCAGCACGAGCACGTGGTCGAGCTTGGGGACCACTGGGTACCTCAGAGGTATGTAATACTCCATACCCATTATCATCATAGCATCAGCGCAACTCGACGTGTCTCCTGAAGAAAAGCAAGCCTTCCAGGGATATGAAGCAAAGAAACGACGCGTTTCGTCCCAATCTGCTAACCTGTATCACCACACCCGTCTCATACCACTAGGGTTCTGATTAGGTGGGAAGTATACGGATACAGTTTTCACCAGACAATGATCGGAAGTACTCAGTGGGGCATCCCTAACACAGAATATCGCTCTGGATCAGTTGTTAGCAGAAGGTTCAAGCAATTAGCCGTATGAGACTCAACATCAAGATGGCTATTAAATATTTTTTCTTATTTAATTTGTGTTTTTTTTTCTTAAATGTACACTCATTTTGGTAACGATGTTCAATTTTGGTGAACAAACAAAATTTATTTCCCATATATATCTTTAAAACTACTTTACATTTTGAAGCGCCGGTAAGATATTCTTTTTGGAATAAATTTTTAATAACCCATAATTTTTACTTAAAACCATTAAACACAAAATTAAAAGTTGTCACAAAAATTAAGTAAAAAGCCGTACCTGTTGAAAATGCCTATATTGGCCAATACCCAATTGCTTTGTCTTGTTTGTTAAAATCCTAATGGACCGCAATGAAAAAGTTTTTTATGTTCATGAACAAATAATAATTTAGAGAATGCATGATTTGACTGTAATAATCTTAGAGGATGGAAAAAAATAAATAGTCTAAGGTAATAATACGTTACGTATATGTATTTTGTCATAAGTTTCAAATGACTTTTATATAGGTACGGTCACCTACACGAAGCTTGGACGACGGTTTCGTCTAAAAATGGTCTCAATGATAGCTGCCCTGATTTTGATGGTAAGCATTTTTATGTTTGTATATTGCTTTACTAGGAAATGAAGAGAAGATTTTATTATTTTAATTTATCAGTACTCAGATAGCCTGCATGTTTAGAATTTGCATGTCGTAAATTGTGTAAATCGTGTAGTACATAGCTTATGTAGTGTAAACTAGTGTAAAGTATGTTGTGTAGAAATGTAGCTACACTTCTTTGCAGAGTGGAGAATTTGGAGTACCGTTTGAAATTCAACAGATATGTGGTGGTTTAAGCAGCTAAATAAGCTGGAGAAATTACAGACATATCGGACTCGTCAACATATGTCTCAGGGTGACGGGCGCAGTGGAAGTGCCCCTCAGATCTTTGCAATTTAAAGCTTTGAATGGCGCTGAAACTGTTATGGACAGGCGTGTAACTTACCATCAGGTGCACGTCTTGCTCGTCCCGGCACTAGATATTATAAAAAAAAATGCCAAGGGGATCAAATAACTTAGCAGATTTGGAAAGAACATTTGCCTATGTTGATACCGTATTTCCGTTGGAAATTTATAGTCGTCAGCCGCTGGGTCCCACTTGTATTCCAGTGCTCTGAATTGCGAACAAAAATCCAAGACCAATAGAACTTAAATTATTAAGAGAACTTAAATTATTCTTG